GGCCAGTCAAGAGAAAAGGATTAGGGTTGACATGATAGCAATATTCCAGTATTTGAGGGGCTGCCACAAAGAGGAGGGGATCAATTTATTTTCCAAAGCCCCAGAAGGCGAGACAAGAAACAATGGGTGGAAACTAATCAAGGAGATATGTGCGTCTTATGGTCAGGTGCGTCTTATAGAGCGAAAAATACGGTATATACCATTTCATAGTGCTTTACAGCCCTAAGCGGTTTACAGAGTCAGGATATTGCCCCCAACAATCTGGGTCCTCATTTTACTGACCTCAGAAGGATAGAATGCTGAGTCAACCTTGAGTCAGTGAGGATCGAACTCCAGGCTATGGAAAAGTTTACCTGCAATACTGCATTCTAACCACTGCACCACAATGGCTCCTTACAAACCCAGCTAAGACAAAAATTCTATCATGGGAGAGTTCATCGACCCCCAATTCTTCAAAACTGTATCCTTTATTTTGCTTTTTTTTAATATTTCTTTTACAGAGAAACTTCTATGCTCCAGTCCAAACAAGAGTTATGTGAGAACAGCCTCAATTCTCCCTATGTTTAGAAACAGAGGATTTGTGGAATAACAGGTTCAATCTGAAAGTGCAGCACTCAGCAAGAAAAGATGCAAATGGAAAGAATTTACAACTTCGGTCTCGGGCCCAAAATGCTGATTTCTCCCCCACTATAATGACATTCTTGCTTTTTCCTTAGTTCAGGAAAAGTTCTGGTGACCTCAAAAGCTTACAGATTATTCAGTGCCATCTGAGCTGACTCTAACAAGGCAACTGTCCAACTATGAATTTCAGAGTTGTTACCGTATCATAGTCACTCTGGGAATCTCCGAAGCTTGGAAACCCTTCAAAGTCGTCTTCTACTATGGATTCCTCTTCTTCCTTGGCAATCATTTCGAAGATGTGCCGATACACTGCATAGAACCCCTGAAACAAACAATATGATCACTGAGAGAGAAAACTAGCCTTGTTAATTGTAGAGGACAATGAAAGACATCAGTATAATGACATCTGGAATAATTGCTCAGTTTTCTGAGCTCTTGACAGTGAGATCTCCAGCCAAATTTTTGTCTGAGAGCCAATGTTGCTTTGAGGTGAATCAGACAGGCATTTATCTTTGAAAACAGATCTGGTAGACTTAAAGGTTTCATCTCCTCACATTTGTAATCACATAAAATTGTTGTATCTCCTTACACAAATAAATGGCTTCTCTCTAGCTGAATCAACAGAATAACAAGAGTTGGATGTCATATGGTCCAACCCTCTGCTCTGGCAGGAAACTCTATACTATTTCAGACAAATGGCTGTCCAGTCTCTTCTTAAAAAACCTCCACTGTTGCAGCACCCACAACTTCTGGAGGCAAGGCGTTCCACTGGTTGTCTCCTTAGTTCTAGGTTGCTTCTCTCCTTGGTTAGTTTTCATCCGTTGCTTCTTGTCTTGCCTTCAGGTGCTTTGGAGAATAGCTTGACTCCCTCTTCTTTGTGGCAACCCCTGAGATATTGGAACACTGCTATCATGTCACCCCTGGTCCTTCTCTTCATTAGACTAGACATTCCCAATTCCAGCAACCTTTCCTTATATGTGTTAGCCTCCAGTCCCCTAATCATTGTTGTTGCTCTTCTCTGCACTCTTTCTGGAGTCTCAACATCTGTTTTACATTGTGGCCACAAAAACTGGATGCAGTATTCCAGGTGTGGCCTTACCAAGGCATTATAAAGCAGAAGCAGGATTTTCTGTAGGCTTGATATTATGTACAGGTAATCCTCGATTCATGACTGTAATGGAGTCTGCCCATTACAATTAAGTCATAACAGTTGTAAAGTGGGTTCATCACCTGACTGAGACCATTTTCTGACACTTTTTGTAGTGGTTGTTAAGCAAATTACCATGACTATTACATGAACTCATGGTGCAATCGTTAAGCGAACCAATTGTTTGCTATGAGGTCTTTTTTTGCAGAAAACCGGAAGTAAATACTGTTTTTCTGCAAAACCGCAGTAAATTGCAATCATGTGACCACTGCAAATGTGGGTCAATTGCCGGGTACCTGAAATACAGTCCCGTGACCTGGGGGGGGGTTGTAGCTGTTGGAACTGCAGAACTAGATCATAGGTACCCTTTTAGGGGGGCATGTCATAACTTCAAATGATCACTAAGTGACTGATCACAAGTAGAGCATTTTCCTGTACATGATGCCCCTCAGGGGTTTCAAACTCAGAATTCATGGGCTGTAGGTCAGTTTCTGAGGCTTGCATTTTAATGACACACAGTAATAGCAGGGAGTTGGGCAGCTGTTTTTTGGGCAGCTGTTTGCCAATCCCACACAGATTCCCCCCTCAAGTTGAGACTGAAGTGCAGCTCAGTGGCTGAGGAGGGCTGCTGTGGGGTGGCAGCACCGCTAGTCTCGGTCTGGAACCTGTTGGCTCACCAACCGTAGCAAGAGTAACACGGTAAATGTTACTCGCCCGAGCGAGTGCTCAAGCCTCACCTTTTTATCATCTTCATAGCCAGAATAGCACGTAACGGTGAAGTATTGGAGCAAATCCAGACTGTTGTCTTGATAGCCTCCATCGATGCCTCCTTTCAAGAGAGCTTCCCTGTGATTGTCGTACCTACAAAGAAAAAGCCCAAATTAAATTAGAGGCTATGAAACTTTCTACCGCAGAATAAACAAGGAATGGTATCTATTAGCAGGAAGACCAAATTAGTTTCCTGAATCACAGCTAAAAGATTGGGCTGTTTTCAGGTCTTGCTGTAACACAGTTTCCCAACCTTAGCCATGTTAAGATGGGAGGACTTCAACTCCCAGAATACCCCAGCCAGCTTGGGGTCTGATGGACTCAGGTGCAACTCTGCCTAAACTCTTTTAATTAAAGAGAAGAACATGTCTAGTTTTGTTTCTACTTGGAAACTGCTTCCAGATGTTTTGCTCGGAACTGAAAAAAAATGAAACTTTGATTTTAGATTTTGCCGATGAGAATGGTTTTATTATTATAGAAATAGCTTGAAATATTGTGAAACGTAAAGCAAACGTTGTATTTATGTATTTTAATGCACTGAAAAAAAGTCAGAGTCACTACTTTTTTTCTCTTTGCACTTTTTCTTTTAGGTTGTTTTTAAATCTTTCCTACATGTTTATTTTGTGACAAACCTTAACTAAAAATTATGGCAAAAAAGATTTGGTTAAGCCAATATACCATTATAAGAATTTTCAAGCTTTTATCCAAAAGGCAAACTTACCACACTCTCTCCTGTGCATCACTCAGCACATCATAGGCAGCCTGGATCAGCTTGAACTGTTCTGCTGCTTCCTCAGCGTTGTCTAGATTTTTATCTGCAATGCCAATGAAGCAGAATCTAATCAATTCATCCCAAAACAGAAACAATCCCACCACTACGAGTCTTGTGAAATCCATTTGTGATTATCAGATATTAAGAAGCCAACAGGAAAACACAATTCCTGGCTCACATTTCCCATGGTGGTTCTAGCACATTCCATTAGACTTCAGTTCAATAACACATTTGAGGGCTCCTATCAAATTTATTTGGAAATAAACTCTATTAATTCCAACAGAATCCAGTTCCAAAAAAGAATGCTTAACATCAGAATGAAACAATAACTATAATATCTGCAACAATATGTTCCAGTATCATCTGTTGATCGGGAGTTTAACCAGCCATGCTCTTTTCAGGATATTCTACTTCTTCTGCTAAGGTTTGTCTTTCTAAACAAATCAACCAGTATTCCCTGCTTACTGGGCAAGCTCTGTTTTCACTGGACTGTTCTTTTTTTCCTTCAGGAAAGTTTTGGATCTTATTCGTATTTTGGCAAACATAAGGCTACAAATGCAGTGAATGAGTTTATCATTGGTATATAGAGATTACCATGATTTTTTTTCATACATGAGCCACCAATTAATTTCAACAGTTTAAAGGGATACTCAGATAAATAAGTAAATGAATGAATGATTGGATAAAAATGTTCAAATCTATTGTATTATTAAGATGGAGCCTAATGCACTTGCATCCCTAAAAATTAGTTAATTGGTTTGCCATTCATTTGTTGAAATATATTCAATTGCACACAAAAAGGGGGCATTCAAAGCAGTAGGGCAATTGTCTAAGCCTGATTGCTATTTGAAGATTTAAAAATCAATGCATTCAGGATTAATGCATGCTAAATAGTACTATGAATACTATAAAACTGTGGTGGCGAACCTATGGCACAGGTGCCACAGTGGCACGCAGACCCCTCTATGTGGGCATGCATGCCGTCGCTCCAGTCCTAGGCCTTCAGCTGGGTTTTATAAAACCTTTTCGCTTTAGTCCTCCGCCGTGTGGAAAAAAAAAGGTTCAATCAATCAATTTCAGCTTCTCGCGGGAAAAAAAAAGATCTCGCAAAGTTGGAATTGATTGATTGAACTTTTTAGTACCACCCAGTCTGCCGTTACCACTGTAGCCACACCCACCCAATGGGCCACGCCCACCCGGCACCCGACAATACATAAGTGGGTTTTGGGTTTCAGTTTGGGCACTCGGTCTCTAAAAGGTTCGCCATCACTGCTATAAAGCATACTGTACATAAAAGACCGTGAATGGTTATGTGGCATTAAGACATGACACAATTATTTTATATTTCAATAAAGAGTTGCAGGGAAAGGCCTGTAATTGAACTGCTGTTACAAACCTTATTATTTTCATTAACTTTAGGCTGCAATTCTAAAATTGCTTATCTGGGTCAGCAGGATTTATTTTTGAAATAATCATATATAGGATTCTATTGTCAGGTGGGTATTAAATTGAAATTATATTTAATAAGCATCTTAACAAAGCCTTGCTGCCAGACTGACCTATTATGAGCTCATGAAAACAATTCATTACCAAAGTATGTGTGGACATCCTGCTGGGATTTAATTAATAAGAGCACCAGTACAAAAAAATCAGGCTGTTGAGTTACTAGCTTACATCCAACAGAATTTGCATTTCCTTAGAGATGAATAAACATCATCTTCTGTAGACTAATATAGTAATAAATCCCAGATTTATTATTTGTTTATTTATTTATTTATTTATGGGCTGAATTGGGAAGCAAAAAAAAAAAAAACATAAGAGGAAGCTACTTTCATTCCATGGCGTAAGGATGGCTCCATATGAACATCAGGAATCAAATTTGATTGAGCTGCCTTGTTGCCTTGAGAAGTAACTAAAGGCAGAATACATTTTCATCTTAGCATCACAAAGGGTGTGTGTGTGTGTACACTGTATGTGTGTGTATGTATGTGTGTATATATTCAGACATATATATGTATATACATAAACATACATACATACACACACATACATATAGAGTATGATATTCTATTATATTGGTCAATATAATAGAAAAACCAAAATAATATACCAAATTTCATTTCAAAAGCTTAGCACAGTGAGAGGTAGTGAGTGGTTAAAGTGCTGGACTGGCACCAGTCAGGATATATGGCTAGCAACTAATACATAGTATAAACTATTGTCTCTGAACCCTGAGCACCAAGGCATTACAGTTTGTTGGATGAGAAGCAATTGTTTTCAAAGGAAAAAAGCAAGAAAGTCCAGTCGCCTTTTGAAAAAAAAGAAAGAAAAGCACCTTTGGAACAGCCCTGACCTAGATGATTGAGAATCTCTGCAGACAACTGCTGTTAAACAAATCAGGGAAACAAACTGTTAATTGTTTTCAGAGGTACTAATTCACAGGTAAGGAGGGGAAATGAGAAGATTTCAGTCTCTAGGACAGGGGTCTTCAAACTTGGCCCTTTTATGACTTGTGGACTTCAACTCCCAGAATTCCTCAGCCAGGCACGCTGGCTGAGGAATTCTGGGACTTGAAGTCCACAAGTCATAAAAGGGCCAAGTTTGAAGACCCCTGCTCGAGGAGGTTCTCTTTCTCTGATGACTAAGTAACTTTTTCCAGGTGTGTGCCCTTCAAATATCTACACAGGTGGTCCTCAATTTACAACAGTTCATTTAATGACCATTCAAAGTTACAACACTGAAAAAAGTGACTTATGACTGTTTTTCACACTTATGACCCCATAAGTGCAGCATCCCCATAATCAACGGGGAAACAAGATTCACTTGACAACCGTGTTACCAATTTAACAACTGCAGTGATTCAGTTAGCAAAGGTGGCAAGAAAAGTCCTCAAATGGGGCAAAACTCACTAACAAATTTCTCACTTAGCAACATACATTTTGGGCTCAATTGTTGACATAAGTGGAGGACTTACCTGTACAGTATTTGTTATCTTCATAGCCTAAATATCTTGTTGTGAGTCACCCTGAGTCATTACCAATTTAATTTATTACTGTTATTACGTTTGTTCAGGAGCCTCTTTTATTTTTCCACGGCCACCACGGCCACTTTGTAAGGTAGGCTGGGCTAAGGAAGAGAGTGACTGGCCAGGGTTTCCATTAGGGTTGCCAGGTCTGTTTCCAAAAAATAGCGGACAAGCGGGGGGGGGGGGTTAAGTAGTAAAAAAAAGTAGACTGTACAGCTTTAGATTACGTACCATTTCATCATAAAGCTTTTGAATAAAAAAAAAATGTCCACTATTTTGTGAAAAAAAATAGTGAACATAATGTGAAAAAAGTGGACTGTCCACTCAAATAGTGGACACCTGGCAACCCTAGTTTCCATGGCTGACGGTGGCTTGAACCCACTCCCAACACCTGGATCACCCCCCCACTCCCAACACCTGGATCACCCCCCCACTCCCAACACCTGGATCACAGCAGCACCCTGCTGGATTACATTCCCTATCCTGCCCAACATCCAGCTGGTGCCCAAGGTTTGACTCCACCCTTTCGGAGCGAGGTCAGGTCAGGGGAGGCCTGGGCGGCGTGGGGGGAAAAAACGCTTGCCCGACAGGTCGGGCTCAGGCCGGGGTTAATACCTGGATGCCAACGGAGGGCCAGCTTCCGGTAGGCTCGCTTGAGGTCTTCATCGGACGCGTCGCGTTTCACACCCAGCACTTCGTAGTGACACTTCATGCTCGGCGGGCCGAGGGACTCAGCCCCGCGGCCGAGCGCCTTCCCCGACCGGCACCTGCACGTGAGGACCGCAGTGACGAGAGCCGGCGAGGAAAGGGAGAAGACCCGGAAGAGGCAGAGTTGGAGGCCGAGCTCCGGGCTCGCTGGGAGGCGGAACCGACGGAAGGCGCGGGAAGGGCTTCTGGAAAAGAGGGAAGGCCAGCAGGAGGAGGAGGAGCAGCAGCGGCGGCTGAGCGCGGAGGTTTAAATGGCGTGGAACGTCGGGCCGGGAACGTTCCGAGACCCCCCCCCCCCCGAGCTGGTTTTGATGTCGTGGAACGCTGGGAGACCGAACGTTCTAGGGTCGCTTGCCGGGAGGGGGGGCGGCGGCGGCGTTTGGAGCCGGTTGAGTCGAAGCCGCCTCCGCCTTGATCGGAACAAAGGTGGCCCGGCCTGCTTTTCCTCCGATCGGAATTGCAATGGCAGCTCTGTGACTACAGGTAGCCCTCGGACTTACAGCAGTTCATTTAGTCGCAGTGTTTCTCAACCTTGACCATTTTAAGGCATGTGGACTTCAACTCCCAGAATTCCACAGCCAGCAATGCTGGCTGTGGAATTCTGGGAGTTGAAGTCCACATGCCTTAAAACTGTCAAGGTTGAGAAACACTGATTTACTGACCGTTCCAAAGCTACAATGGCACCGGAAAAAAGTGACCGATGACCGTTTTTCACCCCTTACCATTGCAGCATCCCCGTGGTCACGTGATCAAAATGTGGATGCTTGGCAACACATTCAGGTTTATGACAACTGCGATGTCCTGGGATGATACGACCCCGTTGTGCGACCCTCTGACAAGCAAAGTGAATGGGGAAGCCAGATTCACTTAACTCAGTGTTTCTCAACCTTGACAATTTTAAGGCATGTGGACTTCAACTCCCAGAATTCCACAGCCAGCATTGCTGGCTGTGGAATTCTGGGAGTTGAAGTCCACATGCCTTAAAATTGTCAAGGTTGAGAAACACTGTCTGAAACTGATTATTTCACTGAAAGCAAGGTTCCAGCTATAATTGTTATGTATGGGGTAGCAAGTGACAAAAACATAAAAAAATGAAAAGCTAACATCCACCCCCTCCCACCCCCCACAAAAAAATCTGTTCTTGGATTCTGGATAATGGAGCTGAACACCTTGTACAGAAATTGAACCATTAATTGTTTTTCTGACTAGTCTAAATATTTGACTGTTAGAAATTGAAACGGCAATTTTATCACCTGCCTTACAATGCTTTTTGGTAGAAGGGCAATATTGAACATTATACACACCTATTTCCGCTTAATAGGACATATATACATATAAGGAACGGTTGCTGGAATTGGGTATGTCTAGTTTTAATGTGGAATAATGAACAATTACTAAAATAATGATTTGTCTGCATAATTTCTAGAATAATGATGTGTCAGGAATAATGCATAATCACTAGGAAAATTCTGTGTCAGTAATATGTGACTAACCTAATGCGCTTTGCACATGGATACAATGTATGTAGCAAACCTTCCATTGTATACCCGTGAGAAACGAACCTAATGTATTACAATGTGTATTTCAATGTATAGTCCTTTCTTCCTGAGAAGAGGAAAGTATAAAACTGAAGTTTGAACCTGCGCAATAAATCTCTCTGCTAAAACCCTCTGGAATTCGTAAAAGTCCTTTCGTTTTCCACAAGAGTTTAATGAAGAGAAGGACGAGAGGTGACATGACAGCAGTGTTCCGATATCTCAGGGGTTGCCACAAAGAAGAGGGAGTCAAGCTATTTTCCAAAATACCTAGAGGCAGGACAAGAAGCAATGGATGGAAACTAATCAAAGAGAGAAACAACCTAGAACTAAGAAGAAATTTCCTGACGGTTAGAACAATTAATCAGTGGAACAACCTGCCTCCAGAAGTTGTGAATGCTCCAACACTGGAAGTTTTTAAGAAAACTGGACAACCATTTGTCTGAAATGGTATAGGGCAGAGGTTCCCAACCTTTTGGGCACCAGGGACCGGTTCCGTGGAGAGAGTTTTTTCCGTGACCGGAGGGGGTGTGGTTTTGTGTGCTGCCTGCATCTCGCAGATGGGGCTTTGCTTGTGTGGACCGGTTGCTGGCATGCCGCAGCCCGGTACTGGTTCACGGACCGGAGGTTGGGGACCGCTGGTACAGGGTTTCTTGTCTGAGCAGGAGGTTTGACTAGAATACCTCAAAGATCTTTTCCAACTATTATTATTATGTATTAGTGCTATTTTGTAACTATTCAGTTGATTGATGAATAATAAAACTCTTAACAGGAATTAAAAGTGTTATTATTTGCAACCTGGAAGTTACTGAACCATTCTTTGTGCTTTGATACTTAAGAAAAATCTAGACCAATTTAAACTTTCAAAGATTTTACGCTAAATTAGCGAAAATGCTAATTATGAGAAAACTGTTGTAACACCAGAAATTAGCAACCTTGAAGCTAAATTGCTTGGCAGTGGCTACTGAATCAACAAATAAACAGATTTTAAAAACTACAGATTCATGTCACCTCACATCCACCTTTTTTACAATTAATCAGTGGAACAGCTTGCCTCCAAAAGTTGTGAATGCTCCATCATCTAAGACAGTGATGGCAAATGTTTTAGAGACCGAGTGCCCAAACTGCAATCCAAAACCCACTTATGTATCATTGGGTGCCAGGTGGGCATGGCCCATTGGGTGGATGAGGCCCATTGGGTGAGCGTAGCTGCAGTGGTAACGGCAGACTGGGTAGGACTAAAAACTTCAATCAATCAATTCCAACTTTGCGAAATCTTTTTTTTCCTGCGAGAAGTTGAAATTGATTGGTTGATTGAACCTTTTTTTTTTTGCACATGGCAGAGGCCTAAAGCAAAAAGGTTTTATAAAACCCAGCTGAAGGCCTAGGACTGGAGCGATGGCGCGCGTGCCCACAGAAAAGGTTCTGCGTGCCACCTGTGGCACGAGTGCCATAGGTTCGCCACCACGGATCTAAGAGATTGGGCAGCCATTTGTCTGGAATGGTATAAGGCAGGGGTAGGCAACCTCGGCTCTTTTATGACTCATGGACTTCAACTCCCAGAATTCCTGAGTCAGCAGGAATTCTGGGAATTGAAGTCCATGAGTCATAAAAGAGCCAAGGTTGCCTACCCCTGGTATAAGGTCTCCTGCCTGAGCAGGGGGTTGGACTAGAAGATCTCCAAAGTCCCTTACAGCTGTTATATTATTACTGTTATTGTTATTAACCTTACAGGATAAATTTGCACAAACATGCATAGATTGTTTCAAAGTAGTAAAGTATTACAGGATTGTGCATAGCTTAAAATTATTTGAAAGGGGTATTTGAAATGCAAAGGAACACACTACTTTAAAGCAGATTATTATATTTTTAAATTCTCATTCAAACAGTTGCATTTTTTCAGACTCATGCAGAAAAAAATAGAATTGCTTTGAAGTGCTGTGTTCCTGTGCATTTCAAAGCGCCTATTCATAGTAACTTCTAAAGCAAGCCAACCACCCCTATTGTATAAACTTAGCCTGTAATTCTTATCCTTTTCCTTTTTTAAAAAATGAGAAAGCAATTGGAGTGCAGTATGTCCAAAACTCTGTAAATTCTATGGAATACAAGAAAAAATTCCAGAGATTGAAGAATCTTAGTTGAGCATGTATACATATGAAATTTTATCTCCAGCTATTAGTAACAAAAAAAGTTCTCCCTCACAGATAGGAACTGAACAGACTCTATAATATAGGATTAAGAATCATCCTGAATCTTCAGGTAGGAATTGTGGGACATCTATAGCAAAGACACAGGAAAACATACCAGTTCCATAAACTATTACAGTCTTCAAACTGAGAAGGCATTTCAGCCATTAAACTATTGGAAATTGTGAGTAGGTGATTTCTCAAGTGTACAGTTGATTTATGGTTGAGTTTATTTTTCCAAACAGAGATTAAAAGAGGGTCTGTTTGTTCCAGTGGGCTCTTTTTTTAAAAGTAGGCCTGAGAGATATTGCTAGAGCCACTGGCTCTCTATAACTGTGCTATACATATCACCAACTTCCTTTTTTAAGTAAAAAAGCAAGAAAAGCCATTTTTTTTGGTAAAAATATTTAAGACCAGCCAATAATTGATTACAGTGCGATACTACAGTAGATAACTGTAGACACCTTGATTAGAAAAGTAACATAGTAACCGATTGATGCCCGTACTATAAAGTCCAGTTAATCTCCATCTTTTTTCAAAGTTCTAATTCTGTACTCCACTTCTGCCAAGCTTTTTCTTCCACTTCCTCTGTCGTTGATGCACTTTCTTCTTTTTCTTTTTCAAACTCATTTTCGGTTCTGGTCTCACCAGTTCTATCTCCATTGGCTTTTCTTCAGCTGGCGTCTCAAAAACTTCCTCGGTGGGATCTTTGGGAATGAGTGCTTGGTCCTCCTTACTCTTAAATTTCTGTAATTGTTTCATGTTTTGTTTTTCTCTAAATTTAGCAACTAGGGCCAGTCTTAATGCCCGGCGATGCTGTAATAATAATAAAAGCAAATTAGTATGCCAACTATAAGGCATTTAAAAAAAAACCATTAGAATGCTGCATATATCAAGTTAGACCCCTAGTCTAGCTAATTCCAGGGTTTTTTTTATGGCAACTGATAAGCTCTGCAACTCTTCAGATAGAGTTGCAACTGAACCAGAATGTTCCGGGGGGTAGAATCAAAGCCCCCAATATGCAAAGAATATCTGCTATCAGTTTCTCCCTCTTATCAGTTTCAGTTTCCAGAAATTGTAATGATTAACTTGCATCGACTGGTATTTCATCTTTTATCCAGAAACTTAGATAGTTTACATGAGTTGTTTTTCTCCACAATAATTATCTTGTGAGATAAGGATGAGCTAAGAGATGTATTAGTTGCCCCAAAGCTACCCAATGAGTTCCATAGTTGAGGATAAATTTGAACTTGGATCTCCAGTTCTATTCAATATCTAAAGGGGTTGTATTACATTACTTTTGGGCATACTGCCTAAAACCATATTATTATACAACTTAATAATAGTATGCTATGTCTGCTTTATCAAATAACAAACATGAATGTCCACCAA